GAGCCACATGAAACTGTCCTGCTTCCGCCTCTACGGTGTCCCTTCTCTAGTCATTTTAAAAGAGAAATTGGGAGAATTCTGTCTTATCGCTCTAGATCATTGACTCCATGACTCGGGAATCCTTGCTTCACTTCTCAGGCCTGTTCCTTTGCCTCCTGTTCACCCCCAAGGCCTTTTTCTGGTCGAAAGTGATATTATCTCACTAACTAGACAACCAGACTCTTGAGCTCTGAGGTTGGACTGTAAGAAATAAATATTCAAAATTAAAATAAAAGGAATCCGGACTTTGATCATAAAAGGAATGCTGTCCCCTTTTATTTTGTGTATATTATTTAGGTGCTGCTGTTTCCCAGATCTGTCCACCCACTTCCAAAAAAGTTATAATGGAGATTCAGACGCATACACTCAACTCAACACTGACGGCTCTCACGGAGTTCACGTTTTCCTCGCCAAGTCCGAACGTCGCCTTCGGCAGTATCGGGGTGTGCACGTGGAGTGAGGTGCCACCGCTTCCCGTGACGGCAGACAAAATCCAGATCCGAGATAAGTCAATATTTCTGACGATCTACATGCTTTTCATGAAGTAACTTCACATTTTCAGCTAAGAAACTACTTTCTAGATGTAACATCTTTTGTTTTTCTCCTCTATTTCCCCTATCTGAAGGTTAGGCTTCTGTGACTATTTGAATAAAGTAGTATTTTTCTAAAAACGGAGGATGAAGAAAATCACAGCCATTTCTTCAATTTCACATGATGGATATTTTGATGACACTTGATTTTTGTATGCAGTGGATATCTACAAAAGCGGTTTAATTTGGATCTATTCTGTATTTATACAATATTCTAAAGGCAGAGATAATTTTGGTGGACTAATAGGTTTAAGAAATTAGTTTCTAATTGTCTGCTTTACGACATGATCTGAATAGTTGTTGATTAAATTGTTGATTATGATTTTCTAAAAGAATAAATTAAATCTTTTGTATAGACTTTAGAAGGAAAAAGAATCTCGGTAGAGTTATAACTCTTTATATGTGAAGTGCTTTTGCTGCAATTCATTTTATATTTATTATTTAACTCGCCTAACGTGACATTTTCCTCCATGAACGCCCATCACTCACATTGCCCCCTCGATATTTGAGTTTTGAATGTTATCCCCGCTTCTGACATTGGACACTATAAGTTCCATTCCTATCCGCATCCCTCATGGAGGTTCGATACGAATGCATCACAGTCATGGTCTGGTTTAACACTGACGCAGAGCCCGAATTAGCAAGAGAATTTATAACTTATCCAGGTAGTTCATAAACCAGAAATCGGAGCAAGGTTTTGCATTGCTAAAATTCAGACCGGAAATGTTAGAGAGATCCTCCACAGCCCATCATAAAAGCAGCAGCAGCGCTCACCCGAAACACGATGGCTTCCCTGATGCCTGAGGATGTCTGTTCCGTAATTCTTAGCAGTAACGTCTACATCAGCATTTGGGAACCCCCCACGGTCACTCCCTGAGATTGCAGTAAGAACAGTCACGACCCGCCCTGAAGCAAATTCCTTTTTTATGTGGTGGAACCTAGCGGTTCCAGATTATTAGAGTTTATGCAGAATCTCCAACTCACAAACCATCTTTACGAAGCAGTGACCGGGTGCTTTCTGACCTTGACTGGCTCATCCGTAAAACACACGGTCAGAATGATCTCAGTTCTCCTTGAGCCGTGTATGCAACGGTACGTGGGATGCTTCATGCGGGAGATGAGCAGATTCAGACGAAAGATACCCTTACAGGAATCAAAGTGCCTGCAGGAGGCACTTACAGGAATCGAAGTTTGTACACAAAGCGACTTAAAAAATGAAAATGAAATAGTACAGCCTTGAATCAGCGACCACGTGTTGACAGGATGATCCACTTGGCACATGTGCGGCACACTGCAGTTGTCTCGAGAGCTCAGACTCTCTCACTCATTGACAGTCGCCGCGTTAGTAAACTCGGTAGAAATACGTCCCAGGACCTCGGAGGTCCACCAGCCCTCAATCCCCAAAGGGGTGGTAGGGAATCTGAGGTCCAAAAAGAGTCCTCCGGTTATTGAGGGATGCATCTCGTGACTCCCTACCCAGGCATAGTGCTCTGTACTTGCTGTGTGATTACAACGAGAAACAGACATAAGCCTACTGAAAAGCAGCCCCTGCCCTGGTCAGAGTCATGGAGAAACGCGAATGAAAAAGACCCCCGTGCGAGACATCGACTGTGAAATTATCTAGAGAGAAAGATTATTGGTAGTTTAAGGGCTAAGGAAGGTAAGAGGTGGGTGAGGGGGAAAAAAAATAATAATAAAAGAAAAGAAAAGCTGAATAGATGTTCAGCAATTTTAATAGATATTTAGATATTTTGGCCACACTGTAAGAGGGAACTCCTTGAAGATCAGCTTTCTATAATCCTGAATTCGTTTTATAGTAAAAATGTGATGTCTTTGGGTAAACGATTTGGTATACAACACTCACAGAAGAAATGAAATTTAAATATGCTGTATAGCTGTGTATTCTTTTAAGAAATGGTGCAGTCAAAATCGTATCATTTTTGTCTTTTTTTACACCTAGTGTAAAAGATCAGATGTGACATTTACTGAGGACTACACTGTATTGTGCTGGAGTCTTGCACACCTGTCTGTCTTCACGTCACCGCGAGGCTGTGTCATCCTCAACATGGCCCGCAGGAAATACTCACGAGTGGTCACCTACCGTCCAGTCTTGAAATACCACATAGTTCACAAAATCAAGTCGAAACAGTTTAGGTAGAACGCAGTGTCAGGCGCCTAACCTGGCTATTTGAGCTGCGTCTTTTCCCCTTAGGCAGGATGAGCTTGACTTGAGTTTTAAATGGACGATAGGCATCTCTCTATATATTGCTACCCACATAATCAGTAAGGGGATTAGAGGGGAAAATATATTTAAACTCATGTTCACGTAATTCTGAAGCTTTCTGTCTGAAGATTATGTTTCAAATAATCCGAGACAGTGAGATGCCAGTACAGAGTTCTACCCTGAGGCCCTCCCAGAGACACACGCAGCCCCAAGGTCTATGTGACAACACATTACCACACAGTGTATGCAAATCCACAGTAATACTGGGTTCGAATAAGCATCTCAGTTTCGAGACACTTTTTCAGAAATGAGTTTGCTCCTTTTCAAAAGAACTCTGGCTACAAATGAAGAGGCAAAAAAAAAACAACCCTCACATCAGTGCTTATTTTTCTATCTGTGATACTGCTGATATTTTCTTAGCCAATCAAACCAAAGGCACATTTGTGGCTCCTTAGAATATTTCAAAAGACGCATCCTCACAAGACACGATGAGAGTGTAAAATGTGAAAATTAATATCCAGGCACAAAGCTACCTATGATAATGCTCCTCAATGAACCGAGAGCAATGGAAATCCTATTAGAATATAAACTTTAACCATATTATCGATCCCCTATGTGAAGCGAAAACAGTTAAAATGTAAAAGATTCGAGTCTAAAGAATTTGACAAAAAGGGAGGCAAGAGGCCTATTTTCTTAATTTCCACCAAGGAAGTGAGTCGAGGCAGGGCAGAGAAATCTTTTCTTTATATGTAATCACCATTATGGTTTTTTTTATTTTAAAAAAAAGAATAAATATGCTTGTTTGACCATTTTCCAATAATTTTAAGGTAGATTTAGAAACTTCCCATTTGATTTCTCATTCGCGTTTCGCCGGTTTTGATAAGAGGAAGTATTAGCGTGTAGCGGGCGGTGACCGTTTCTGCAGCCAGGGGGGCGTCAGGAGACAGAGAAAGAGCTGGAATCTTCAACTGTGCACATGTCATCTTTCAATGGCAAGGAGTAAATAGGGGAAAACATTAAAAATCGTGAATCTGGTGGTGGAAGCGTGATATATACGACATTGCTTTTACTTTTTGTGTAGTTTGAACTATTTCTAAGTTAAAGATTTTTTTTTCTGCCTTTTTTATTCTAGCTAAAAAAAGATATGTTTACCCGTGACTCCTTTAGTAAAATTTTAAACCCCTTGTTTTCCTCATAAGTTAGAGATTTTCTGCAGAGTTCAAAAACATATTTAAAATGAGTGAACTTATGTAAATTAGAGAATTGTCTGCTAAATAAACATTCAGCAGAAAGAGAAAATAGACTCAAAGTTTTACTCTGTTTTGGCACAAAATACTAGGACATTTTGTGTTTTCTCCTCTTACTTAATGAAATTTTTAAAAGTAAAATCAATTCTTTAAAAAAAACAAAGCCTAGAAAATAAGAGTTGCATGTATTACTAAGAGTATATGTGTGAAAATTTAAAAGAAATCATTAGATGGACTTGTCTATGTTTACTTCAAAAGAAATTTGTTTAGACAGAAATCACTATTATAGATATTATATAGATATAAAATATCTATATATTATAGATATCTATAATATATATCTATAATATAGAGATATTATAGATATGCCAAGCTGGTTTCAGTGCAATCTGTACTCGAATGGCCTCACTTGTACCCTGAAGGAGAACTATGGTCTCTGCTCATTCATTCTGGAAGGAAGTGGACACAAGCTCACAGCTCTTCACCTTTTTTTTTTTAACATGGGGGCCTCATAACCACTGGATCGTTTTTTAAACTCGGCCCTCACTGTTCCTTTATAATCTGAAGCGTGTGCGCAGTGTCCAGCTTGCAGAAGCGGTCACCTGGATCAGGGAGGGGGCAGGGGGGCGGGGGTCAAACCCGGGCCTTGACCAGCACTGACCAAACAGACGCCAGGGTCACCCAGGCTCCCCCAGAGTCCCCTCACGTCTCTAATTCTCTCCTTTTCAAGACATAGAATAATCCACAAATCCAGGCAAATCGCAGGCAGTGTGCTCTTTGCTTGCATTTCATCTTCTCTTCCCGGCCTTCTTCACAGAGCTCTGGAAAGTTAACCCCTGGCTGTCCTCAGACTCACCGCAGGATGAATTTCTCCATAATCGCTGTTGAGATGGGAAGAAATAATCACCTTAACTGTTTAAATCGTTCCCGGGCAAAAGGCGCTTCGTAGAGCGTTTTACGATGCCCGGGGAGGTGGCCGGGCGCTTTGATGTCTCCTGATATCTGCGACCTAATGTCCTGTCCAGGTGGCCCTGCTGCCCTGTGAAATGTGCCTCTTTTACGAAAGTTTCTGCAGCAGGAAACTTAACTACTTAAAGCCTTAAATGGAGCTTCCACTGGGTCCCGCCCACCCCCGCCCCGGAAGTGACATCTACAGACAGCTTTCCAGCCGCCGTCCGGGCGACGAGCTCGCCTGGCACCGGCTTTCCGGCCTGTGCTCCTCGTCGCCAGTCGTGCGCTCGGACCCGCTCCCTCAGGACACTGTCGCGTCGTTTCTCTGGTCCCGCAGCGCTGGGAGGGAAGGTGAGCCCCGACACCTGCCCGGGGTGCGCCACGCCCAGGACAGGACGAGGACAACGCGGCGCGTCCCCAAGCTGGGAGCAAGCGCTGCCAGGTTAGGTTCACGGCGAGCTCACTGTCCCGTGTACCAGTGCCATCTCCGGGATGCGTGTTCTTTTGCTGTCCCTTACACCCTGTTAGCCCTACGGCCTTCGCCAAATACAAAAACACAAAATTCAAATAAAAACACACACAGCCCTGGCTATGGGCCGTGGCTGCACGAGGCACGAGGAGGGGCGGCTGCAAGCCAGCATCGGGGCGGGCGCCCGGGGACTAGGTGTGCGCCACCGCCCAGGGGACGGTCCCCCGGAGCGCGACGCGCACAGTCGCAGGGGGCCCGCGGGTCTCGGGGGCCTCTGTGCCCCACTGTTCATCACAGCTTTACAGAGCAAGAAAGAGGGTACAGCAAGGCGGGACACGTCACAGAGCTGCAAAGCCACGAGACGGATCATAACTTGTCCTATGCAGGTCACCTCAGGATCCAGGACAAACAGGAAGACGGAGCAGCAAATCTCAACCGTGACCCCACGCGAGTAAAAATGTCAGTGCTCACTGAGCCTCTGCGATTACCTACGACCCTGTGGGATCAAGATCTATTATTCAGAATAACATGGAAGCAGGGAAAATGGGAAAAACTCTGAGTTCCACTCCTCATTTATACCTGTCCATTTTGAACATTTTAGCTTCAGTCGTCTGAAATTGCAACACCAATGTAAATTTAATGCTTTTCCTCAAGATCCCCAAGATCCATCACCTGCACACGGGGCTACATTCACTGCTAATTAATGTCTGTCATTACCAAGTAAAAATAAGCTAAAATGCATACAATTTCATACCTTAGACTCTGCATTATGCTTAGGTTTTCTGTTTCTATTTTGATTTTTTACATTCTTAAATATATTTTATTCATTTGGGATGGTAGAACAAGAATTGGCTAAATTACTACCACATTTCTACTGGAATTTCATAATTCATAAATCACTGGAAAAATCACCAAATGTGAGCTGTAGTAATCAACACATATATTTAATGGCATGATGAAAGTTCTCATATTTTGGTGACACAAACTGATCCACACACACATATATACACACACAAATGTGACTCGCAGACACACACACACACACACACAGAGTAATCTCAAAAATTTTAATTTTCCAAGGGTCAAAAGAATAGACGTCACATGTTGCTGACTTAGCACATGAGTTCACAGTGGTGAACGCCGTGGGCAAATCACATTTTGATTTTTGTGTAATTTTGATGCAAAGAAATTCTAAGTGATCTTTGCCATAAGATGTATTTTTCAAACAACCGTATGAGTGTGGCTCTTGATGGGGCACCCTATTTTTGACAACGAGTAGATTTCCTTGAGATAAAATGTCACCTGAAGAAGGAGGAGCAAAGAATCGCAAATCGGAGGCAGCGTTGCTACAAGGCTGGAGACATGGTAATTAATTCAGAGTTTGTCTTCTCTCTATTGTGTATTTTTAAAACATACACCTTTGGTACCTGTTTCTTTCTATCCTTATTATTCAAAAATAATGTCAGTATCAGAAGGATGACTTGTTTTCATCTAATACTTGTACCATTTTAAAATTAAATCTTTAGAAAGAGAACATCTTTGAATCTTTGTAGTAATAACTAACCTATGGAGGAAATTAAGTTAAGAACTTGTCAAAAAAAAAAAAATTGGAGAATTTACACGCCCAGTTTTACAGCGTGAGTGATCTGTAAGCTGCATGGACCAGGTGGCTCATCCTAAATTCTTGATTATCTTTTACTAATCCAAGGCCAAATAAAATATCCAGAAAAAAATATTTTATGTATAATAAGAACCTTGTCAAAAAAAAAAAAATTGGAGAATTTACACGCCCAGTTTTACAGCGTGAGTGATCTGTAAGCTGCATGGACCAGGTGGCTCATCTTAAATTCTTGATATCTTTTACTAATCCAAGGCCAAATAAAATATCCAGAAAAAAATATTTTTTTTATGTATAATGACTATGCACATAACAAACCAAGAATTTTAGATAATGGATATTTTGGTGGTATATTTAAAAATATATATCTATATATCCTAATAGTGGCGAGCAAAATAAATTTAGTATCATCGTGCTTTCGTCTTAATTCAGTCATTGCTACCAATTACGTTAACGTACTGTTTAACCGATCGCTCGCTCACTGCCTCGTCGGGGGCCTGGGAAAGTACATGGCGACTTCTGTTTTGGTTCCTTGCGATGATGTGGCAGCAACGGCCGGCTCCAATAATTCGTGTTGAGGATTAGTCCTGCAACTCTCTGAATATTACTCAAAATCAAACGTTTTCGATGAGCTTAGATGGGCCAGGGAGGGGAAGCACAGGGACTGACAGGGGCAGGGGGGCTCACAGAGCCGCCCTGCTTCCTGCAGCGGCCCTGCCCCGCACGTGGTCCATTAGAATCGAAAATCCTGCGCTGATTTCATTCGCTGGGATTTCTAAGCAGGTCAGGAAGGAAGATGTTATTGAAAGGAAAACCCTCATCTAAATGAGAAAGAAGCACGTGGCCGCTGGCCTTGGCCACACACGCGACAAGTTATTGCAGCTGAACTGCAGGCTCGACGTTCAAAAAGATGTGCCAGAAACCCCCCCAAAGCTGGCCACGGTGAAGTATCCCACACGGTCCTCTTTAAACCTCCAAATCGGCGCTACCCAGTGCGTTTCCTACCCGTGATTCACGAGCCCATTTGACCCCGGGGCCTCGCTGAGCCTGACTGCCAGGCAGGGGAACGTTCGATCACTCGTAAACACTCTCCCACAAGGCCATCCGCAGCCCCGTGGGTCTTTCGCAAACTGTGATGATAACTTTGATAGTTTTCTCTCCAATTAATTTTGAGCGTGGTCTGCACACAGGCCTCGGCAAGGAGAAAACTGGAGGCCTGAGCAGCCAAGGCAGGTTCCCCGTCTCCTCTCTCTGAGCCTTGAGGGTCCTGGGTGTCTGTTCTCTGAACACAGGCACCTACTCAAAGTGACTGCAGGCCCTACAGGCTCAGTTTAAAAAAACAAACAAAAAACGCTTCTAACTTCTCTTTTTATAAAGAGAGATTCCAAGTGTCAGTCTACTTTTAGAAATCAGCTTCATAATGGTAGGAAACAGAAGTTTCTATTAAAATGACATTTCATACTGTCTGCCAAATTAGAGTCATATCTTCTGATATGATTGCCATTTTTCTGACATGAGGCATTTGCACTAATGACATCATTAATATGTTAATTTCACCAATATCGGAGCAGGCCACTCTGCTAGCATAGACAGAGCTAGTTGGGATTGCCACCCGCATTTCATTGTATTAAAATACATTAATATTCTAACTCAAGAGCATTGTAAAAACTCTGGTTATGATATCATACCAACAACTATTTTTCGTCATAAGACTATATTCAAATATATGTACTATCTATACTACACACATGTACGATACATGATTATAATACCAACATATGCTAGGCAAGAATGTAGTCAACCAAAGTCTTCAGATAAATAATTGAATTAATACCGTTCTAACAGACGAAACGCACGAATCCTCATAGATCCCTGACGTGAGCGATCACTGGTTGTTTTTGTATATTTGCTCTGTTTGTTCTGCCATTTCAAATAAATCATTACTATTGTGTAGGAAGAATAAACTGTACTATAGTAAATTGTTCTTTCTCCATTATGCTCTGAAAAACCATTTGTTCTTGAATTGACCTCACATAGCTCAAATGTTTCAATCAAGTCCATTATCTTCTTTTCTTTGAAAGATGCCTTTTTACCAACCTGCACGCCCAGTGGGCAAGGTCGTGTTTTGTTTTTAGAAAGAAGGTGAAATTTAAATCCAACTATTCATTTTTTTTTTTATATCTTCGATAAAACAATTCCATAAGTCATCCTCAGGCAAGAACTCCATTATATGTTGGAAGAATTATTTATATAAAAATTATTGAGTCAGGCCCAAGAATTTCTCCGAGTTATTTACTAGTTCGCACTGGAGTCTTACACCATAGAATGTCACCTAACTTGTGTAGCTTGTTTTTTCTAAGTAAAAAATGTGTCCATTCTTTAAGCTGTATACTTTTTTCGACAATAGGAACATGACAGCTAAAAAGAAGGAAAGACTTTTTCGCTTGTTTTAAAACAATCACTCATACCTCAGCAAAATGAATCTCATCAATTCATGTGGTAATGTGTAAATAGTGCTGATCATATTCACGTGCCTCCCAGATCCTTTCAAGATTAATCCTTTTTTAAGTATGCAAGACAGAAGTACTTAGAGCAAATTCCAAAATTAAGAAAATAATGTAGCAAATACTTAGAATGTAAGAACTGGTAAGCCCACCCGGCCATTTCACGTTCATGAAGATTAATTTAAATTAAATATTAAAAATTGGTAATTAAGAGACATGTATACACAGTTGGTCTATATTTATAACTCGGATACAATAATAGGTTTCAGTAAAATTAATAACATTGTTCTATTTAAGTAAAATCAAATATTGTACTGAAATCTCCACATTATTAAAAATCCGATCGCTCGTTTGGGGGCTAATTGTTCAGTGTAAGACGCATCGAATAGACTCAAAAATAAATACCGACACTGGACCGGAGCACGGAATCTTAGCCCAACTACCACCTAAGCCAGAGCACATAAAACGAGCCCTACTTTTAAATCATTTGCGTACCATCTTTCCCTGAGCAGTAAGTTAACAGTAAAAATGATTTAAGGGTTACGAAAATTTAAATGGCAAATGAGAACCACTGAGTCATCACACATATCAGTACTGTGGCGATTCGATCGAAACAATCTCAATATGCTCCCCGCCTGCACCTCCCGTTTGTGCCACTGAGATTCAGCCCCCCTGGAATGTTCCACCGGCACATTCTCACGGCACCCCACGGCCGGCCAACGCCGCCCGGCCGTCCACACGTCTCCATAAGCGGGCTCACGCTGCCCGTCCACACAGCCCCAAGAAAGAGACAGCTAACAATAAGACAGGCCTCTCCTGTGGGCGTCGGTTAACCCCACAAACACGTGAACTTCCTATGGGCACGCACCCCACAGACACTGGCGACTAGGTGATTGAAAATGCTGCCCACAGACGCGGAATTTTATATGTGATGACATCACCGGTAAACTTGGTTTCTCTGTGATATGATGACAGACTTGCTGAGTGTGCCTCGTGAGTGTGTGTGTGTGTGTGTGTGTGTGTGTGTGTGTGTGTGTGAGAGAGAGAGAGAGAGATTGAGAGAGAGAGAGAGAGAGAGAGAGATGCCTGAAGAAACAGCATCATCAGAAATGGCACCACCTTCTGCAAGGTTTGCAAGAATCTTTCTAACCACCTTTGACTTTCTCCAGACAACTCAAGTTCATTCAAAAACATGCTTCCCGCCCACGCAGCCTGGGCTTCCTGAGCTGGCACACTGCCAATCCCGACGGACCCCGATGGGTCTGTGGACGTGAAGTCTCTGTGCCCGGTGGGGCGTGGGAAGCCGTGGGATGGGGTGTGGGAGGTGCACTGTCCCTCGAGACCTGCATCTGCCTGAGGAGTTCGGGTCTGAAAGGCAGTGAAGGGGTTAAAAGTCGAGGCTGTCTGGGGGAAGAGAAAGGGGATATTGTCGTCTTGAATCTTTCCCCGTGTGTGCAGCGCTCCATTCCGTCCCCCGCCCCCGTCCCCATGCCGTGCGTGCAAGCCCCTCGACTGGGGGGCCTGGCTGGCTGGCGCCCAGACAGGCTGGTGCTGCTGGTGACCACATCCAGCCTTCAGGTGTCTCAGCGCACGGGGGGCGGGGGGCGGGGGGGGGCGCAGATAACGAGAGAGCAGACAAAGAGGAAAATGGTGTATTTAAAAAAGATTATGTGAAGACGAGTGTCTGGGTCCTCTTTGAAAAACAGAAAATGAATCGTGCCGGCCCGGAGTTTTGTCATGGGAGCACGAGCTCTGCTCATCTGCTCTCGAAGCCATAATTAGCTATGTCTGGAGCCTCTGAATAATCCCTTTCAATAATTGATGGAGTTAATATTCTCTTTTTCAAATGAGGAGGGCAATGTTTCCTTACACACTCCCTCCTCCTTGGAGCTTTGTTGTTCAAAATCTTCATCGGCCCACATCACGTCGGTTCGATTTGCTTTTTAATTTCTTACGAGACTTAGCTTAGAACTTTGGAAGGCGTCGGATGATTCTAGAAGTGAAGGCATGATGCGTTGCTCCATTACGCTAGCTGGATATAATAAGGAAGCAGAGATATGGGAGCATCTCCCCCATTTGTTTCCAAATACTTTATCAAGTAAGAAAATAAACTGCTCTGTAGGTTGCTTCTGGTGAAACTCCATCCAAAAAAAAAAAAAAAAAAATCTTACCATGAATGTAACTCGGATGCTAATCTTATCTTTCGCCAGCGAGTACGAAGAAATCCCAAATTATCTGATTCCTTAAGCTGCTGCTTCTCTCCAGAAGCCTCCCTCGTGCTTCCTCCCCACCCCCACGCCCTCACTCCACCCTATGAGGAATTTCAGAGAAGGAAAATCTTTCTGCAGGGAAGGCTGGGTCCGGAGACAGAAAGCTGTCTCTCCCGCTCGCCTTCACGCTGGCCGCTCTGGCTCTGCCTGGCACTCCCGCCCGGACTTTATGGCACATTTCCTGGGCTCGGACCCTGAAACCGCTTCAGACTCCATCACGACTATAAAATGAAAAGTGGAG